TTATTTATTTATATTTTACATAATCCATCATCCATGACCATGTAGATTGAAATTTTAATTGAAATTTTGAATCATTCTTTCCCAAAATTCAAATGCATAATCAAACCAAATGATCTAATGAAATATCGAGAAATTAACTTTGAAGTCAATCAAAAATTTGTCTCCTTTAGTAATAGGGGTATCACCTGATTTACATACCTGCATTCCAAATCTCTTAAGATTCTTATTGATACAACTCCTTTGTAATAATCCAAAAATACACTGATAATAATCGATGTGTATCTATATCCTTAATATAAAAGAGATGTCACCAAGATTTTTCATTTCAAAATTTCATGATAGAAATCTATTTGTTTCGTGCAATAAGCTTATATTATTGTAGGCAAATAGTGTGTTATCGGCATGTAATACCAATAAAATATGATTACTTATGTGAATCCACATAGCGAAGAACTACGAAACCCACAAATAGATTGAAATCGAACCCAAGAAAGTCAGAGAACCAAAGTTTTGGATTTGATTTGAAAAATAACGAATCAAAATAACCAACAAAACGTAATCGAATGTTGACCCTTTTGATTGATTATTTAAGAATCTCACCCGGTTGATTTGAACGCCATAAGAATCATTCTTGATAAGTTCGCAAATTGTCCAACGAAGAACAATGGATTGAAAGCAAATTGCCTCGCAAAATAATTCTCAATAATTTGTTGTCTTCCAATGAATAGAATAAGATCTATTTATATGGAAACTCTAAAAACCTAGTTAAGACGTAAATAAACTCCTAAAAGATTACAAAGATATAAAAAATATTGTTTTAATACAATTAGGAAACTTTCAGGGAAAAAGAAAAATTTCACCCTATGCAGTCGCATAGTTCATCCTTCAGCCTTCAATTTTGTTTCGGAAGATAGGTATGCGGTCATATTCATTTTAAACTATGAGACCACATAGTTTTAAAAATTACACCCCTTTTTTCTTGTGCAGAATTTCGTGACGATTTCGGATTGTACTTATGGACGAAAATCCAACACCCGAACTGAAAGTTATGCACGTTTTCATTCACGCTGCTCGTTCGCTGCTTGAACTGAGTTGACCGAGTTGATCCATTTGGTTTCTTCTTCTAAGCCCAACATAAAACTTGTTCCTTGGCTTGTCAACTTCGACATTTCGTCCATCGTAGCTTGAACAAGCAACCCCATCCCCTCTTTCACCGACTTTTCTCTCGATCGTGTCATCGGACCTCCATTGATAATCAACAGATCCTTTCCCGTGCTTGATTTTGACGCACTCGACTCCGTGCTCACATCATCCCCTCACTTTTCAAAAGGATTTGTCCTCAAATCTGTACCACATCAAAGAGAGAGAAAGATCAGATACATTAAAAGTAGCCGAAACATTATACTTACCAGGAAGATACAGCTTATATGCATTGTCTTTGATTTTCTCAAGAACTTGAAACAGACCATCTCCCCGTAGCTGCAACTTCTATTTCCTTTACTCTGGAAAACGTTCATTTCTCAAATGTACTCAAACCCAATCACTAGGTTCAAATGAAATGCTCTTCTGGCCCTTGTTAGCTTGTGATGCATAATGCTTGTTTTTGTTTTCAATTTGCAATGTCACCTTCTCATGGAATGACTTTATCATCTCGGCCCTCTTTTTTCCATCTAAACTTTTCAAATTTTTGTTAACCACAGTGTGCAACAATTGAATCATGGTCCTATCTATTACTTCGGTTTGCCCATCGATTTGTGGGTGACATGTAATAGAAAACAACAATTTTGTACCTAACTTATCCGACAAAACCCGCCAAAAGTGGCTAAGAAATTTAACGTCTCTATCTGACACTATACTTTTAGGGACCCCATGTAAATACACTCTTTTCTTAAAGAACAAATCAACTATGTTAGTGGCATCGTCAGTTTTATGACATGTAGTGAAATGCGTCATCTTAGAAAACCTATCGACCACTACAAATATTGAATCCCAACCCCTTTTAGTCTTAGGTAACAAAATCCATGGAGATATCAACCCAAGGTTCACTAGGAACGAGGTTTATTTGCTTTCCCTTAATGTAATTAAAGTAAACACTTAAGTCTGAAAATTAAGGAAATCAAGAATTCCTTCTAATATAAGATTTTTCATTCTCTTTTGAGAAATGTTACCTAATCACTTATGCCATAACAAAACAAAATTCTCATTGGTTAATTTTGTTTAATAACATGTAAATTCACATACAAGGTTTCTTTATAAGATGCAACCGTATTAAGAAAAATATAGGTTATCGTAACTGGATAAAGAATTAATACCCACAATATTTGAATTAAGAAAAAAAATCAAATTGACTATTTTCAATTGAACAAGAGTAACTGAAGTTGTCCAATGTAGAAATAGAAATCAAATGTCTTCTAAAAGACGGTACCGTAAATATTTATTTCATATTCAAATCATAACCAATCTTTAATAATAACCTAAAAGTCCCTATAGCCTCAAGCTTAACTAATTTGCCATAACCCCACATAGATGAATCTTTTAGCATCAATTGACTTTTGGTTGTTCAAAAAACTTCACATATATACACTTATGCGAGTGGTGGCACCGAAATTTTATCCGCTAAGTGTGTCTAGGTATTGAAACTAAATTAATCTAAAAAAAAACCAAAGTGAGAAGTGTACTTTTCTTTACACGCCAGTGTGGTATTTAGTACAGTCTCTCTATATGTATTCTAGATTTTCACAAAAGTAACAACTGAATTTATCATTTTTAGGCTTTCGCTGTTTATTTTGAATCGAACCGGATGCAACTTTTTAATTCTTTATAACTTATCCTTAGAAGTACTTGTTAAGTGAGTAATATCGATTTTATCGTATTTTAACCTTTCTTTTTCTTACACACAATATGGAATGAACTCATTAAGAGTCCACTTTCCCTTTTAATAGTTATAACTAACCTTAGATTAGTCGAATTATGCAAGAATATAAATTAAAACTAAATGCACGAGCAAGTTATTAGACATCTAAACCTTTAATGTCTTTAGTTTTGAAATAAGATGAGACATCTCCATGATGTACTCACGTTTTCTTTACTCTTATACTTTAATGAAACTAAGGTCGCTAAAAGTGTAATAGTTCCAGCTTTATAGCATTTCACAATTTTTTTTTTCAATTTCATCAAGAAACTCCTTGGCAGTAGTTACATTATCAAACACAACGTAATGTTGTTGGGATTTCACATTTTATGATCATAAGACTTATGTGGTTTGAATGATCCCACTTATCTGAATCCCATTTTTATTAGCAGAACTTTTATCCGTAAGAATAGTAGGTTGTTCACTCCTAAATGCAAGATCTAGATTCATGCCGCCAAAAAGGATATACATGTTGTCTTTCTAGCCCTTAAACTTTGGTTCTAACACATGAATTAAATTGATGTTGGCAAATATTGCAGACGCTGATGGATTAACAGAACAGAAAACTTAAACCTAATTAACATGTTCACATAAAAATCTGTATTGGACAATCAGGAATCAAGGAAAATTTAGCACGATGGCCGGAACCAATTTACATGCTAAACTTCTTCACGGACAAAATACCATTT